AGCGGAGCACCAATGAGGAATGTTTCAAAAACGGAGAAAATTTATTACTATTGAGAGACGCAGACGAAGTTGCGCGGGTCAGCTAGTTATATATGAAATGAATGTTCGTAAAAACATAGGTATGTAGTAGTTTTAGTATTATTAAATTAAATTTAGTATTTAGTACTATAGATCTTAGATCTTGCTAATTATAATTGAAAATATTTTATAAAATTAGTATCTTAGAAGAGTATCAAATAATAAACTACAGTGGTTTTAAATTATTTTTCTAAATTATATATATCTTATTTTTGTATCTTCATTTCGTACTTATTGATCAATAGAGGGGTGGTCTAGTGGTCAGCGGGCCTGAGTGCTAAGCCATATGTTGAGAGTTCGATTCCCACCGAGGACAAATAATTTTGTGATGAGTCTGTGTCTGGGAGTAAATTTATTTATGTGTATTTAGAAATATGCTGCCTAATTAGAAATCAGACGACCGTTTGTGAGATGTCTCGAGTTATTTTTGTTATATTTCCGTCTGTTGGTTTTATCTGACAGTAGCTTTTAAAAACGTAACAAACCAAAAAGATTCCCTCCCTCCCTTATACAAAACTGCGCTTATGTATAATATCTATTTACAAAAGTAATATATCATAATATAAATAATAATTAACTGTGAAATATATATTTCAAGTAAAATATAATAAAGAAGTTTCTACAAAAAAAAAACGAATCTTACTGCGAAAAGAGAAACGTTCCAAGATGAAAATAATTCAGAGCCGTTTCATCAAGTTGGAAACTAATTCAATAAGACTCGGTGACTACTGCGAATTTTTCCGTTTTAAGGCTTGGCGTAAGTTAACAAATAGAAGACAACATATTTTAATTATTTTTTAAAGACAACTCTCGCACTAGGAATATTTTAGGGACTAAACAAACATACATTAAAACGGAAACAACGAACACCCAGACTCAGAACAACAAAGTAACATGATCACACAAAGTGTTGTTCCATCATGGAACTTCCATGTGGGGATCGAACCCACAATATTCAGCGCAGTAGAGAGCGGCGTGGCGACCGCTTGAACATCTGCGCTATCCGTGCAACTGATTCATTTTAAACTTAACAATATGCACAAACTTTAAATCCAGTATAGGTTTACTTTGTCGTCACCGCGTGTCACTTGTGCGGTCTACTGATGCGAAATGATTGCATATAGGTAGCTACAACTGATCTCTTTGTCTAAAACTGACAAAGTATTACTTGGAATCTATTGGATACACTTCTAGATTCCAAGCCAAGACACACACGTTTTAACATTTTGTCAATTTTTCGAAAAATTTGATAGCTATTGAATTCATAAAGAATATAAGAAAAATTCTTTGTCTAGTTTTAGAAATAAATTTTCAAAAAATAAATAAAAAATTAAGTGATAAATTGTTGGAAAAAAAAGATCTACAACCTCGATATTGTAGATTCAGTAATGTTCAGTATAATTTGTACAGTTGCACACACAGTTCGTTCCAATGAAGGTCTAACATACCTCCTTGAAATGGGAAATGATCGAGAGACAACAGTTCGAAGAATTACAAGCTAATGTAAACACATCCTGTACTTGGTTACCATGTACGTACAGGATCTGCCTAATTTGAGATCAGAGGGCTGTATGTGAAGTGTTGCAAATTATAACTATTACTATATTATCATTATAATCTCCTTGAGTCGTTCTTAGCCAGTCGGTCACCCCGAATCGTTCTAATTTGACGAACATAAAAAAACCTTATTTTTTTAAATTTATAATCAAACAAAAAAAAAATCGGTCAATATCACGATTAGGTCTAATTATTTTGCGTTTATTACATTTTTATGTTCACGTACACGTAAAAGCTTTTTCATTATTTCAGTTGCATTTGTGTTAAATAAATGTAAACATCAGCTGGCGGGTTTAACTCCATTATTATCAAACGCGAAGTCATAAAACATAAAGGTTATTACGTATTACGCTAGTATAATATATTCTAGGTTACCTACAGCGGTAAATGCCATGGGTGCAATGAGGTTGTGAGTGTATGATCTCGTTGTCTATGAATTATGAGTAGAAACCCACGTCGTTACTCTCAGAAAAAGCTAGTGGAACACGAGGCATGATCATTTTATAACCCCACTTCGAAAGTAAAAATATATAGGGTACACATATGTATATGTGCGATGTAGTAAGTTATAAACACAATATTTTATTTATTTCTAGTCATATGAATGTGGGGTGGGAGATTAATCACTGTCCTAATAGGACATCTAGACTGTCCCAATAGGGCTAGTTTTTAATGTATTACACTTTGATGGTATTGTCGAAAGAAAAAGAGAGAAAAATGCAAGACGCGGATAGTGTAATAATGGTGCCAATGGTGGGAGACACTCAATCCGCCCTATTTGATCTTGTGACAAGCTTTTATTGGTGTATATTTAATCGAGTTATTTTATGTTACGTTATAAACAAAAAGCCTTCTCTTTTGCAAGTTAGTTTCAATATGTGGTGGGTATGGTCTACTAATGGATTCATTGCTGTACACCATAAGGACTGCTGTTGTTCCGAAATAAATCCAAACACATCGAAATGAAGACACTTTTTCTGATCGCTGAATGCACTGCCTGGCATTTGGTTGTATTTAAAATGAGCGATTCTCTAGGAGCAATCTTTCATAATCAGGGTTTAGCATCAGAAGAAAAATAATACGATTCGGATTTATAGTAACTGGGAATAAACAAAAATGTACAAGCCGTTACCTGTCAGACTATTTAAAAACTGCGATGTCGAAGAGATTGTTATATTGAATTTTATCCAATTTACTCGTTTACATGAACATACGATTATAATCATAAATTTGCCCTTGAAAGTACAATCTAGTTGTGAACAAACACAATCAGTTTTGTTTTATCTAAACTTGTATAAAAGTTTCCGTCGACACGTCCCAACGTCCTTATCTGAACAATATATGGAGTAAATTATGGTGTCTGTCTCCACAATATGTACTCTACTTTTTAAGTGTTCAACCCATTTATACTAAAACTAAACATATTTTAGTATTTAAACATGGTTGTAGGGTAATTTAAAACAGGCTTTGATGTTTGAACTGAATGTCATTGATTATATTATCCGTGTCGTAATTGATTAAGAATACTGTGTGTCACTAGCCCTATTCATCCCGTGAGTGTCGTAGGAGCCGACTAAGAGAGCAAACTACTCAGGACAACTTATAGCATTGAAAAAAGAGGGAAATCTTGCCACAAACCCTATGCGAACTCGTCTGGCCAGCGGGGTATAGTAGGCCAAAACCTCCTTCCTAAGGAGAGGCCTATGTCCAGCAGTGGATTATTATGGGCTGATGATGACGATGTTGTAGTACGATAATAGAAGCGGTACGATAATAGATTGTTATCGTTACCATATCGTCTTCATAATACACCTTACCTCTTGGGGAGCGTAAAATAAATTAAAGTTACAAATTCTTCTAATGGTCTAATGAAAAGGTTTTAATTTGGGGCTTCCAGAAGCGATAATTGAACTCAAATACTTTGATCGTTTAAAAGTAACAAATTTGTCTTAGACTGTGCTGTTGGTCTAGTTGTCTGTTGATTGGTTAGCGATCTTGACTGCTAAGCCAGAGATTTTGCGTTCAATTCTCATCCAGGATAAATATTGTGTCTACTGTGTGATGACTACAATCATTTGTTGCATGCTGTAATTTATCAATATTGGTAATATGTTTGTATTTAGAAGTATATAAGTATGTTTATTTAAAAATATAGATGTCCAGTTGCATTGTCGGCAGAAAACGGTCGATTAATGAGCATATGTTGCCGTACTTTTCATGCATACACCATAAAAAATACATTTACGCTGTAATAAAAGAAATAACGTATAAGTGAGTAACGTTTACGACTCAGAAGTTTAGATTTTTAAAGAGTAATAAAATGGAAAGTATGTTCGCCGTATCAAACTGGACAACTCCTAATTTATTAAAGTAGTCTCCGACGGACCTCTCCTTTCCACAATAACGCTTGTCTAACTTTTATCTCGCTCTCCATTAAGGATGTTCTCGTAGGGACGTAAATGGGAGATCATTAGGTAATTTGACCGCACGGGTCTGACCGACCTACGGGCCCGTAACGATTTGCTGCGGTCGGACCTCTAGTTGCTATAATATCTTAGTTTTATTCACGTCTTTGGTGAGTAAAAACAAAACATTATTTAGATACATTCAGTAAAAGTTTTAGCCATAGTAAAATTTTGTCCAACTTCATCATCATCACATCAACAGCCTTTAATAGTCCACTAATGGACATAGGCCTTTCCTTAAAAGAAGGTTTTGGCCTAGTATATCACGCTGGCCAGACAGGTTGGTACAGGGTTTGTGTCCAGTTTTCCTTCTTTATGCAGTGCTGGTGTCCTGCGTTGTTTTGCGCCCTTAGTTGGCTCTTACGACACCCACGGGATGAATTGGAGTAGTGACATTCCGTATTCTTAATCCGTCACTACACGGACATCCGTCACTATACTTACCTACTTACCAACTTTAAATGCAAGTAAAGTTCGAGCATTTTATTTTGGGATATGGTATTACAGTGTTTTTTTAGAGCATAATTGTATAGGCAGAAAAATACTTGTTATATTATGTTCTCGTGTGAGAACACTATCGTTACATTAATATGTGCAATTTGATGAGATATTTATGTATATTATTATATCAACCGTCACAACATGTTTCGGCCATACTAAAACAACTGATTGTAGCCACACGTGGGTTCGATTTTTATTCAGGATAAATAATTGTGGCCCGCTTTAGATTTGTAAGTATGTTTATCAGCAGTCTGGTTACCATAGTACGGGCTCTGCCTAGTTTGGGAACAGGCGGCCGTGTGGGAGGTGTGTTAGGTTATTTTATTTTCTATGAACATGTAGTGTGAAATTTAATTGTCTCCTGAAAAGTACTCAAAAAAGAACCTTGAAACATCTTACCTTTGACATACAGCACAGTGGGCTTAGAGAATTCAGTACCGATAGAGTTCTCCGCTACGCACTCAAACTTGCCCTGATCTTCTTCTTCACTCTTCACAATCTGTAAGGTACCTGGAACAAATGATAACACATTTAATTTACATCATAAACCAAATGGTGTTCGGTTAAGGTAGCGCCACTTGGGTTTGGCAGTCTTCTATTCTCGGATCCCTTCTACATCAGGCGCCGAATGGCACACCGTGTGGTTATAGTCGGTTCGGTTCCGACACACCGCCTAATCGCAAACTCCGGTCCGAAGGAGTTTTCACACGTAAAACACGTAAAAAACTAAATGCGTTGCTTTAAGTGGTTGCAGCTTCCATCAACTGGTTGCTAAGAGCGAGTCATAAACTAAATTATAACACTAATATTTAGTTTAGTAAACCTTCAAGGTATACTAGTAATATGGGACTTTTTTTTTTAATTAAATGCTCCTTTATTTCTCTTAAGTTCACTTTAGTCAAAAAGAAAAAGAGTTATTAAAAATTGTTTATCGATCGATATCGATTTTATAGGCGCAAATCATATATGAAATACCATATCATTATTATTTACTGGTATATACATTCCGGAAGTGTATAAAGAAGAATATATATTATGATAGTATTCTGAGCTACACTGTTGAGAAGAAAACTAATATCGCAAAGACCGCAGCGCAATTAAATGACTGCCCAGCGCAAGCCTGATCCATTACATTTATTGCTTTGTACAGTTGACAAGAACTAAACTACTATAAAGAATCAAAAAATGTTTTTATTTAATTGTAGTAGAATAAAGAAATTAAAGAATAAAGTAAAAATTTGTCGTTTTAATAGAGTTGCAGTAATTCTAAATAATTTGTAAAAAAATATTATTACTGAGTTTTTAATTGCATTGGCGAACTATATTTGTAGGCCTAAATCATTGCTTTATAAACGCTAATGTTCGATTACGTAGGAATATTTATCATAATCAGCTGATTTATAATTTTGTGTGGTGAAATATCAAGGACTAAAAAATACACTCGACGCTCGTTTGTCGTGGCTCGACGGACCATTTTCGAGAGATGGGAATTCCGTTCTACAAAAAAAAAAACAACTCTATAGAATCGTACTCAAAGGCAAATCTTAAATAAAGAGTATTTCTTCATGAAATATTACTGTAATACATCAATATAAAACAACAATAAGAAACTAACCCAACCATCGAGGACTAAGCGAAAAATTATTACACAAACGCTCACAACAAAATTATCTCGCAAAATACGGAAGGCGTCTTAAAAGGTATTTTATTCACGCGGCTAAACATATACAGAGATTTATGGCCTAATAACATAGAGTCGAGAGGAGCCATTAGGGACTGGGCAAAGTCCCGGCACTCCTGGGGGCCTTTGAAGTGCTCTATAGAGAATATCAAAGTTATAAAACGGAATACCACGGCGAGCAGGTGCCTGTAGGCTGACTATACTTTATTAGGAGTTTCGAGTCAATTATTTTTGAATTCTGTTAGTATTATTTTGTCTGGCAACACGCCACTCGTATAACTCCAAAACTTAGAGAAGGAATTCATCTGAACGTTTATTATTGAGATATTTATTTGTTTTAAAACTGATGATAAAAAATAATTCTAGTCGGTAGTGTACTAATTGGGTTCGAGCCCACAACCTGACAACGTCTAATCATGACTAGTAATTATTTCATATCAAACTAATCATAAAAACTCCCGGCCACTTAGAAAAGGATGACAATGCTTCCTTCCCTTTTTGTATATTTTAAATCACAAAAAAATCAGACCGTTCTATGAAGACGGACATATGTGTGAGTCAAGTTTAAAAAACTGTTATGTCTCGAATATTTATTACAAGTTGCAATCTTAAATGCTAACATGTCCGCTTCCCGGTAATTATTTCGAAATTTTAAAAACTCTTACTAAAGTTGCTTATTAACTTCGTTTCTACGAGTACACACAAATCTGTAGTTATTACAAAAACTTCTAAAAACAATAGCCAGTAATAGGCAGCCATATTGGACGTTACACTTTCCACATAACTAAAAACATGAGCAACCAAAGGGGCGGCCCCTTGTGTATGAACTAAGCGATATTGATGTAACTGTAGTTTTGAGTTCTGGATTAACAAAACAAGCGAATTTAACCCTTACGAGTAATCAAAATAAAGTGTATATACATTCCCTTTAGGGTACATCTGAATGAGGGACTCGGGTATACCCTAGGAGTAATAGAACCATTTCTGTTTCAATACCATGTGGTTTTAGTCGGTTCGATTTCGATATTACACTACGTAGCTGGCCCCAGTCAGGTGACGGCCCGTGGGAGTTGCCACGATAAAAAAAGATTGATGAGAAAAGTGTTGTTATGACTAGTACATTGTACCCACATAATTATTTCTTGGCTTTTAATACATTATCTGAATTTTTAAATCTCAAAATTTAATACATTATCTCAGAATGGAAGAGATTTTCAGTTCGATTATCCAGTCGGGTAAATTATAATTGGGTTAGAACATTTTCAGAAAACGAAAAATGTTTAGATATAAGGGTAGCAGCAAATCAATCAATCCTATAACGGACGAAAATAATAGTTATCGAAATGTAACCTACATTTCGATTACTATAATTTCAGTTGAAAACTTTACACTATGATAATAAACATTTAAAAAAAAAAAAAAATTTGAAATATTTTTGCAGTACCAGTAGACCTCAAACCTTTATGGAGTGCTAAAGCCAATAAGTCGTCCGGCAGCATTAACATTTTAAGTCATTTTTACAAAAATATATGCATCGGACGATAACAGGGTATAACAACTGGCGGAAACTGAGGGTATGGAAAAAGGAGCAAACGCGTCTGGTTTTCGTACAAAGAAAATGTAATTACAGTGAAACATGGTGTAGCAAGGTCGTACGTGATGTGGAGAGTGTAGTGACACCATAGCCTCGATAAAATGTTGGCCAGTTCAAGCGTGACAGCTGCGTGGTAAGAAAGGTTTATATCTAATTTAAGGGTGTAGTCATGCCAAATTGCATATTTAACCACGAAAATATTTCATTTTTTATTTTATTTTTATTAGTTGTGTACAAATGATAATGTATAATTTCATTATTATAATATAAATTTGTAATAAACTTTAATCAAGCAATTCGTGTACATATATAACATAAATTTCTCGGAATAAGTTTTTACGATTTCATTTCTTTTTATTTGGATAAGGTTACATTTTTTTAAATGTATAATTATTTCAAAGTTATGCCTTAAACACGATATTACATACAAAGTGAATACTACCAGCCAATCGTGGTCGAATTTGCGTAATAAATTATGTAGTAAAGACACCTTTGTAATTGTTTTTATTTGCGTAACTCATGTTTTTTTATTAATAACTTACGATATTACAACTACACTTTATTTATTTGTTGCAATTACAATGATTTTAATGTTGTTTAATTAGCTTTAGTGAACAGCATGTTTCAGCGTGATAAAATTATGATCAAGTATAATATAAAGCACATTCAGTCACGTATTCAGAAATTATAAAACTTTATTGGTGACAAAAATCTTATTTATTGAAATACATTTATAAATAAATCAGCAGAAACAATGACATTTTGAGCAGAGAAAATGAAAATCATAACCACACCTGTCAGTCCCATGTTGGGCGTCAAAATCTAGAGGAATCCCTGGGCATTTAGTTCGGTAATGAAATAAAACAAGAGGCCGGATCCCTACGTGGCGGGATTTGGGGATCTCGTGACAGCCGACGATTGCTCGCCGACCAACTGACGAAGGTCGTCCGCATCTTGAATTTGTGACAATAGTTCTTATTGTTTTTTATAAGTTGGCCGTCATTTTGTGTCCTTTCTGTGTTTTTGTACGTGTGTGTGTGAACTACAGAGTACTCCCTCATGGGTCCAGTGGGCAGTTCTATGCCATTGTTTATTTAACAGATTCCTAAACATTTGTTAAAAAGACTGTGTATATATGTGTGTGTGTGTGTTGTTATTATTTTATTGTCAAAAACTACGATATGCTAGACTCAATTTATTTTGAATTCAATATTTAATATAAATTGTTATTAAAAAATGCGAATTATCAATGTGAATAAATTTATTAATATGATTTATTACAAGAATTTTCAAAAAAATATATGTTAGAAATGAAAATTGTTTTATCTTTTAATTTAATTAAATTAAAATTTAGCGTTTATACACACATATCAATTAACAAATATTACTTTGAAAATATATGATGATTTCACTCACACACGTCTTTAAACAGTTTATTGTTCTTTTTTCTTTATTTATTTATCAATATTATTTATATTTACTAAAGATCGTTTGTCGCTTGTTTTATTTCATTAGCCAGTATAAGTTGAACTGTCAGTGTATAAACTTTTGTATCATTATATGTTATTTATGTTTTTTTTATATATATATATATAAAAAACATTTTTAGTCCAGTATAAATGTAATGACATTTATACTGGACTAAAAATGTTTTTTTTTGCTGTCCAAAAATTTTCGCCTTCTGCCCTTTTCGTACATATTGAACATTAACTATTCCAAATGTGACATGATTCGTCGGAAAAATCGGTATTAAAAATCTACTCCACGGTCTCCACGTATGAATATACAGATTTATACATCACAATCGTAAATCTTTTAAAATAATTCTTAACGGCAAGCAATGAAGTCAATGATTTTGTTACAAACGAGGTTTTTTCAAGATTTTTTTGTTTCTTTCACTTGCTTCTCTTTTCCTCAAGCATATTATCGTTCAAAAATTAAAGCGGTTTATGATCGCTTGCGTGTTCTGACCTCGTTACTCTAATCTGTACATAATTTTCACCCTTCGTCTGGCGATGAAGTGATTGAAAGAATTTCAATGGAAATAATGGAACAGAGTTATTCAAATGATGTAATTATAACAGTACATACAAAATTACTTTCAGCTTATTCTTCTAGTAGTCAGTCGTATCGCTTGCCTAAACTCTTCAGGGATGCCTTCCGAATGTCGTCACTATCATTTAAGGCATTTCGCTTCCATGCTTTTTTCATCTACAAATTCAATTCAGTACATAC